CAATTATGCTATAATTTTACTTATGAACTTTCCTTGGAATATCATATTCAAATTAAGTCCTTAATAGTCAATCACTAGTAAATCCAAAATTGAATTATTATCCTCCCGGAACAAAGAAATTTCATGCACTGTTCTTAAGAGCCTCAACACTGTCTCCGTTTTCCTCTATTTCATCAAAGTAGTCCTCTCGAGCATTTCCAGCCCACATCAGGGCAACCAACCAGAAGAGGGAAGAATCCAGGGATAGAAATGCACCACCACCCAGAAGACCAGTCTTAGCAGTCGGGCATGCTGTCTCGAGATTCTGATGAACATTGCGAGTCAAGTGAATTTTCTCGGTGATTGTAGGCCAAACGAGCAAAGTTATAGTCAACCCAGTTGTGAACCTGGAAACACAGAGGTAGCTTGATTGATAACGTTTCCAAATCACTTTTAGGTAACAGTTAAGAGTAAAGGATGTGATTTGAAAAGAGAAATTACAGGGCAATGTTGAAGAAGATAGAGGAAGTGCTGCTCTTAAACATGGAACCTCGAGGAACGGGTTTTCCTTGGTAAGGATAGAACAAAGAGAGGTATCCTGCAATTGAAGAAGCAAGAAGAAACCCAACGGAGAGATATCCCAAGGCCACAGTTGGGTCCGCTGGATACTGACAGATAACAGTGCCTTTGCCTGGGATGGGAGTTCTAGATGCAGGCTGCCTAGCAATCACAACAAGAAAGAAGGGAGTTCCAAATTATATGATATATTAAATTCAAATTTCAAGTCTGTAATGAATCCAAGAAGTCCAAGAAAGAACTATTCAAATGCACAATTTGTGAACCGAAGCTTACCTTCTTGTTCTCAGCCACGACTCCATATATAAAGGATATCACACCTAAAGGTAAGAGACATTATCTTGACAGACACGACAACCAGATTTGTATCTTGACAGACTCGTAGCACGGAACAAGAAAGAAGGGAGTTCCAAATTACCAAAATACCTCTGAAGTTCCACTTAATTACAAAATTGTAATTAAAGAAAATCTGCAACCAGATTTGGTTGCAGAACCATCCCGCAGAAGAAAATCAATCGTATATTCACATCCAATCGTTGGATTGAGCTGCTATTTGGATATGTTTAACAAGACTCAAGGGTCCGTAGATCCAACGGTTAAAGTTGAAAACCAATGTCGGTAGCACCTTCATCGCTATGTCGTTTCATCGTTCAACTCTTTGCCTTTATTTGCTACTGTTTCTAATCTTCACTTGCTGCGAGTGCTAGCAGGACTCGTACGCTGGTAATCTTTGCCACTGGACTTAATGTTTCATCATAGTCTCGTTCATATTGTTGAGAAAATCCTCGAGCTACGAGTCGAGCCTTGTATCTCTCGATTGATCCATCCAGTCGATGCTTTATTTTGTAGACCCACTTGCAAGAGATGGGTTTGACATCGCCTAGTCTTGGCACTAGTTTCCAAGTTTGATTCTACTCCAGGGCTATAGTTCCTTCTTTCATTACTTCTGCCAAACTTAGTTTTATGATGCCTCTTCATATGTCTCTGGTTCGCAAGCTCTATCTTCTACCATATCTGCATTTGCATACTTAAGATTTGGTCTTCGGATTCCATTTGATCGCCTAAGTTGTTGATGTGTCGTTTCATTTTTATCATATTCGCTTGATTGAGTCAGCTCTTGCTTGTCAATATCAATGTCACTTGGATCTTCAGGCGCATCAACATTTGATTGAATTTGCGTAGTTTGCTCCCCCATCATCTGTTGTAGAATTTCTTCGATCTTTGAATATGGTATGACTTGCTTCTCCGAGGACCACCATGAAAATGCTTCATCGAAAACTACATCTCTTGATGTATCGTATTTTCCACGTGTTATATCACAGCACTTCCATCCTTTCCTTTGATTTTCGTATCCAACAAATATACACTTGACTGCTTTCTTGTCAAACTTGCTACCTAGATGGTCAGGCACAAATACATAGCAAACACAACCAAATACTCCGAAGTAACTAACTGTAGGTTTCATGTCCCTTAGTATCTCAAATGGTAAGATGAATCCGAGCTTTGATTGGGGAAACTTGTTGATCACATGGGCAGTAGTTCGCATAACTGTAGGTTTCTGGAGTTTGCGTTACTTCCGACTCCCATGTTACGACCCTCCGAATGGGTAGCTTCTCTTGGGCAACATGCAGGCAGAACATGGGACTCTCACGGTGCAACATAGTAGTGGAGGCCATAGGATGTGTTGATATACTTCCTTCTTCCACTTACTATAAATACTTTCTCTATTCACCTTGTTATTGACTCATGCAAATATCTTCCACACGATGTATCTCATATACCTTTTTCCTCCCACTAGGTATTTTAGACGGTTGGGTATACTTATTACTTAGGTATATTCCGGCTAATTAAATATAACCTAAGTCTAAGTGATTTTTTCAAGTATAACATTTATACTAGATTTTTAACTATGATGTCTAGGTGATTTTTCATTTAAAAAAAAATACTTACATCACTCACGCATGCTCATAAAACTGGGCTAACTAAGCTCAAGTACTGGCCCGATCTCCAGGTAGCAGGTGTTCCATAAACCATCAACTTAAGTACCTCCAGCCTTAGACAAGATCGTGCCAGGTGAGCCTTCTTGTAACCGCAGTTTTACAAGATATCGACCTATTTTAACTATTAAAATCGATCGTGCTTGGTTGTTAACCTTAAGTGAGCATGCATTTATCTTTGTTATAGATTTTAACGTCTAACTCGTTTTATGACGATGAAAATAACCTATAACATGCATCTAACATGCTTTATATAACAATTATATAATCATCCATTCCATGCAATAATATAACAATTTATATCTGTCACTCATGGATCCTTAAACACGCATACTACACATTATAACACTTATAACATACTTGTAATGCATGAAACATGCTTAGCCTATGGTGGGATTTTAAATCTATATGGCATACTTTATGTATATACATTTTCTATTTAGTTAAAACATACATTCACAATACATAATTAATTAAACACACTAAAGGGGATTAGTCTTGGCATTTTAAAGCAAGCAATTAACTAAATTATTACATTAATAATTAAAATTAACTTTAACCGTTCCCGAGGATCACGAACAGGCCGAACCAACCCTTAAAAACGTTGAACCGAACCCCATTTACTACCGTTGAGCTAGGTCATGAGACATTATGAAAATTAGACTAGGTGAAGGACCCGAACGACCATAATAGAAAATTAATTTCCATATTATACTTTTACTTTTTTTAATTCAAAATTTTAGAGAGCAATAACGGAGACTAGGTTTCAAGCATACTTTTTTTAATTTCCATATATTTTTCAAGCATCTAAGGGGCTTCAATATTCTCCAAGATAGATGAAGGTCAGTATATCACCAACTAAGAATCAAAGAGAAAGACATACCTAAAATTGCCTTCAGAATAAGGTATGATCACTACAAATTCACGGTTGTCCTCTAGACTAACTAATGCCGTATTCAAGAACTTTCTTAACACATTTGTAGTTATATTCATAGTTGATATCCTTATCTACTCTAATGGAATTGACAAGATTGCAAAACCAGCCGTTATACGCCAAGTTTTCTGATGGCAAGTTTTGGATTTTAGAGGTGGCCATCCTTGTGCATGTCATAACAAAAGAAGGAATTTCCGTAGACACGACTAGAGTGGAAGTAGTAATGAAAATGCCTTAACTGAACACGATGATAGAAGTATGAAGTTTCATAAGGTTGGCAGGTTATTACATAAGATTTATAAATAGAAGTCCAAAGTTTCATAAGGCTCGCAGGTTATTACATAAGATTTATAAAAAACTTCTAAAAAATATTACCACCTTTAAGCCAACTCATCAAGAAGGGTAAGATATTCACTTGGACATCGACATGCAAAATGAGCTTCATGGAACTCAAGGACATGTTGGTATCAGCTTCAGTCCTTCCATTGCTAGACAACTTGTGAAACTTCTTGGAGCTAGCAACCGTGGTGTTCGCCCATAAGATGTGGCACACTATGTTTATCAAGAAAGCATACAAGTATATATGGACCAGAAGAGCCTAAAGTATTTGTTCAAGCCTCGACCCATGATCGCAGCCCAGCCTACGATTCGTGATTGATGCCTCGACCTGCACCTCGATAAAAGTCACCTACACATGTGTTGCCCTTGTCTTGCGCCATGATCGAAGTCACCTGCAAACGACTCCTTCGACTTGGTCAGCTTAGACAGCTCGGCTTGGGTGTTCGCGACCCCTTTGGCTTATTCGGCTCAGGTACTCAAATTTCAACCTAATTTCTACCGTTTTGACCCTCCCAAACCTATTTCTAACCTCAAGTAAGCTAATCGATGTCGTTTTAATGTCATATTTCACAAATGTCAATTAGAAATATTATTAATTGTGAAATACTAACGAAAGGTGACAAACGATCTAATAGGAAACGATTTCCAGTAATACTTTGGAGCAGCTTTTGAGGAACTAGAGCCAACGATAATAATTTAGGGAGAACGCCAGCTAAGGCCAATATACTAGAGACTTGTTTGCTGTATGACGTATGTTATATGAGATATGATGTATGATGACATGTATGAGATATACGATGATGTTTGATGATGTTTGATGACATGCTATGATGATTATGATGTATTTGTTGGCATTATGATGGCGATATCTGTTGATTATGATGCATGATATTGTTACCATAATATGATGATGTTTTCTATGTTAAGTAAGATGTATGTTATGAATGTCATTTTGCATCATGTCGAGAATTCGACCTAGGACTCAACCCTACAAAATATGAGCAACGATGTTAAAGATGAATGTTTAATGCACAAGTATTACTAATAGTAATATAGAGATGAAACTAAGGTTGTGTTAAAAAGGCGTTTTAAGGACGAGAAATAGAGGGACTTCATGCATTTTTATATGTACATAAGCATTGAGATTCTTCCCCTTTTATGATGACGAGTAAAAACCCGCATGTTACGATAATGACGGTGATGGTGTCGAGTATGACACTCAGGGGTTCACTGACCTTTAGATGTTGCTATAAACAGCTAGCTCGACGATGATGGGTCCAAAGGGTGCGAACCGCCTAGGGATTAACAATCGCAAGTGTGGGTCATGTGTAAAGAAGTACTATTCATCCAAGTTAGTCCGAAGGATTGTTACATGTGTTTTCATTTCTTCACGACCCCTATAGATGGAACACTTACTACATATTCTTCGAAATACTCAGGCCGTGTGCTAGATTATTTTACAGGTAAAGTCAAGGCATCCATGTACAGTTCACGGTGATATCACAAACTAAAGACAATGGAATGTTCAGAAGATAAGAACATATTTAAATTCAATGGGCGTCTTGCCTTTATGTGAAAAATGTAGTAGCACAAGGGTTGAGCGTTCTAAGAATACTCAGTAAGCGACCCCCTATTTTGGTTCTGATGCAAGAACTTGTGAATGCAATGACGGCATCTATCATAACAGTTTATTTTCCTATAGTACTATCTTAATGGGCAGCTTGGATGTGTATCATATACTCTACACATGACTCATATGTGCGAGTATGGACCCACCAGTCGGTTTGCACACCCTTGACCCCTTTCCTTGTCAGGCGAACATGCTCTGGTAGCTCTCTATGCCAGATACCCATTAGAAGTAGTAGTCGTTACAACTATATTATGTAAAACGTAATGATAGTTCTCCTGTCTAATGGTGTACGCGCCCGTACAATCATGAAGGAATACAGGTATCCCCGAATGCATGAGCACACATTAATGCATGAGGTCCCAATATTTTTCCATTTTCAACATTATTAAATATAACCCCTGCTTTCATTTTATTCATATCATATCAGTCATTCATGCTTATACCGAGGTTATATTTCATGCTATTTATCGTTCTTCATGTCATTCATATCATTCTATACATACAATTCACAAGACAGAACGTAATATTTTCATGATTTCAACATAACGTTTCATAATGCATAAACTAGCTAAATCTTAATATGCATAAAAACTTACTCCTAATGATTTAAACTGACTATGCCTAATTAGACATAAATAATTTAAATTGGATTCAAAAAATTTAACTTAAGCCTAGGTGTAAAAACTTACTTCTAATAATTTAAACCAAGTCCCAATAATTTTAACTAAGCTCTATTATGCATAGAAACTTACTCCTAATAATTTAAACTAAGCCTAATACTGCATAGAAACTTACTCAATTTAAAATAGGTCAAATCATGCATAAATAATTTAAACTCGATTAAAAATAATTAACTAGCCCTGCTAACTTTGAACGCTTTCTAAAAATTGAAATTAGGAGGAAAGAGTCCGAGCGAATCAAACCAAAATGGATCAACTAAAATTTTGGCCTTGAGCCATCAAAAAGTGTACTCAGAGTTGGTTGAGAATGATAAAATGAAGTGGGGGACCTCCGTTTTATAGTGGAGGCCAACCCGACACTTCTAAGCTTTAGCAATGTGGCACAAAGTTTCCCTTATGTTATTTCTTTTTTATTTTTTTTTATTTTTTTATTTTTTGTTCATACATCATACATGTCAAGAAGAAACTTTCGTCCACGAAAGTGTCTTAATATTGGAATTACTAGGGTACTTCTTGATCCCTTCCTCGTGTTTCCACATAGTTTCTTTCATTTCATAGTCGTGTAAAGATCATTTTCCTTGTACATGTTTTTTTCTATCTTTACAAGCATAACAAATAATCTTTAATGATATTTTTTACTAAAAAAAAATTGGGCCAGTTTGTTGGTTTCATATTAGAATTGACCATCATGTTTTTTTAGGAAAATTGACCTGAGTTCTTTGCATATATCCCTTTTATGATTTTAACCTTTCCATTTTCAATTATTATACATATTTTCTTTTTGTTCTAATTTGTTACCCTTTCAATATTAAAACTTGAAATATTCCTTAATCTTGAAAGGGTTTTGAGTAGAGCCATACCCGAGTAAAAGAGAGTGCATGAATGAACCAAGATTATATCCGATAAAGTGATCCAGAGTATATGAGAATGTTGGCCTATTCCACCACTCCTAAATGGTGTGAAAGT